TGCTAAAGGGCAGACCCGAGAGTGACTCTACTAGCTAGGAGACAGGCCTGTGTAAATCCAAGCTTTCATGTTCAGCCGAGTCTCGTCGTCTTGTTAACGGTAGAGTGGGACATGGGATGGACTAGAGCTCGATGGCTGCTTTTGTAGAGCTAGCTACGAGGCTGCGTGTTCGGGAGATGAGCATGCAAAAGGGCAGACCAGAGAGGGACTCTACTAGCTAGGAGACACGCGTGTGTCGATCCAAGCTTTCATGTTCATCCGAGTCGTCTTGGAGTGGGGATGGACTGGAGCTCGATGGCTGCTTTTGCTTGCAGAAGAATGGAAAATATCTTGGTTCCTCAAGGCGAATATGATGGGTCCACAGTTTGTTGCTACGGTACGTATGTTAAGTTGCTACCGGTACTAGCTAGCTAGCAAGTACTTTCTGAAGCTTTTCCTTCCGCCGACAACTTCAGGTGGGGCGGTACCGTAGTGACAGGGATATCGCCCATCTCTCGTACCGTACCGGTATCCAGATGCCTCGCTGGCTTTTCTCTTTGTGCCGAATGGAATGCTTGAATCTTGAATTCAACGTCTGACCTCTGGACTTCGAGACACAGCAAAGCTCGGCAATCGAATGCAACTGTGGTTTATGGTACTGTCCTGTACCAGTTCACGTACAAGTACATGATGTAGACAATTAATTAATCGGTGCTGATGCCGTGGTGCCGTGCCACAGACATTGAGAGTTTGAGACACAGCCAGATCGGATAATCTTGTAAGAAAGTCGACTGCAAGGTCCAGAAGCATGACCGAAATCCTTTTTGACAGTTTCTCAAATGAGAAAGTAGTTTCTCATTTGAGAAATTAGTTTCTCAAATGAGAAAGTTAGTTTCTCATTTATCGAAAATGAGAAACTATCTTTTTGAAATGAGAAACTCTTTGAGAAACTACTAGTAAATGTGCGGCAGAAGTGAGAAACTATTTTCTCAAATGAGAAAATAAACTATTAGTTTCTCAACTTGAGAAACTAGAAATGAGAAAATGAAACTAAAAATGAGAAACTAAAACTGTTTGAAACATTTCAAAACTTCATAAGGGTTTCTGGACCTTGCTGGTGTCATTTGGTACTTAACGCATTCTTTCTTTATGACACTTTGTGACTGTTCTTTGTAACTATTTATTTATAAACGCCCAATAGCACTGTCGTTCAAAAGGATAGAGGCCTCAGCGTCAAATAGACTACTCGAGTAAGTAAAGTGATCTTTAAATTTTCAACCACTGGAGTTCATGACTCAATACCTCAATAAGTACTTGTGTACTCAATTATCATAGAATGTTCTCCCAAAGACAACTAGGCTCTCTTGATTCAAATAAGATGCGCTTCCACTCGCGCACAACAATGTCATGCAGTTTTTTTAGTTTTTTACTCACCACCGACAAAACCCCGCAGCGCTTTGTCGTAAAAACTACCTGCACATCCCGGGCGACAAGCATCAACTCGCCTTCCACACTCTTCTCTCACTTTCTCACAATCTATCTCACACCTCGGGGCAAGGTCCGATCATCATCAAGTCAAGTTCCAGTTTCGAAGTCAAGTTTGACCAAGATGGTGGAAATGTCTCACAGCCAACAAGTGGCTCTGGCCGTGATTCCCAAAGTGGCGGCCGGCTTGTCGATCGTCGGTTCGTTGTTTGTGATGAGTGACATTTTGTCGGAACGATTCTTTCGACAACGCAACAACAAGAAATTGTCGCCCTATCAACGATTGCTGTTTGGCATGTCGACATTTGATCTCATGATGAGTACGGGACTGTTTGTGGGAACGTGGGCCATGCCCGCCGAAGCTCCCGTTTACGGCAGTATGGGGACCATTCAGACATGTGAAGTGGAAGGCTTTTAAGGGCAAGCGGGTGTGGGCCAAGCCCTGTACAATGCCACACTCAGTACGTACTACGTCTTGACGGTCCGACAGGGATGGAAACCCGATCGCATTGCCCGCCGCGCCGAACCGATTCTCCACGGTATTCCTATTGGAATTGCATTGACGACCATGATTGCCGCCGTGCCGTTGGATTTGTACAATTTTGGACTCTGGGATTGTTGGATCAATGCGGCGCCACTCAACTGTACGCAGTCGTATTTATTGGAAGAAGGAGTCGAAAGTGACTGCGAACGAGGAGACAATGCGTACATTTACCAGTGGGTATTTCATCTCATGTGGGTCATGGGATCGGCGCTCGTCGTGACGGTCAACATGTTCCTCGTGTATCGAGCCGTACTCAAGGTAGAACAAGCTACGGACAAGTACATGACTCCGGGACAGCAAAAGAAACGAGAACGATCCAAGGCCGTTGCCGTGCAATCCTACTTTTACGTTGCTGCCATGTACATTAGTTGGGGACCCGTCTTGGTGGCGCGCTTTACCCAATTGATTGGACTCAAGGCAACCTACGGAATGTTCGTGTCTCTGGCCATTACCATTCCCATGCAAGGGGTATGGAATGCCGTGGCTTATCTGCGACCACGATACCTCTTGTGGCGCAAGAATCAACGCCGCATAAAACGCGAGAAACTCAAACTCAACAATAACACTGCCCTCACGGCCAGTAGCCGATCCGGTCCAGTCTCTTCTGATGCCATGAGGGATAACACCCTGAAGGATCAGTCGTCCGATGACAATAACAACAATAACACTTTGAACACGACTTCCCGATCGCGACATAACAGGACCAATAATATGGTCGCCAACTCCATTACAAAATCCACCATTCGAGCCGTCGCCCTAGGGGTCATTGTCGATGAAGAACAGCAACAACAATCTCCTGCTGATGAACCACCGTCTGCTGTCAAGGACAAAACCTCCGATGATTCCGATTCCGGCAATTATTCTGATGACGAGTTTTTCAATGAGACTCATCATAGCAACCTTCCAGCGCTCATGGGAAACAGTTCCCATAAATCGAATTCTTCCAATCATTCCCTCCAGTCTCTCTCCAGACTCTCCCCACGACGTAGTGTGTCGACTAATCCGGCGCATCGATCCATGACCCGGTCTACCATTCGCGCCATTGCGCTGGGAATCATTTGTGACCCCGAAGACGACAACAACAACCATTCGGGAGAAGAGTTTTATGATGACCAAACCAATCTAGTACAGGAGCAGCACTTGATTCCGCCTTTTGGGGACATGGAAGAAGCTTCCGGGGCTCACAATCATCATCGCGATGATGATGATTACAACTACTCCGAGGGTCGTCCACCGATAGTAGATGGCGAGGATAGCAGCAGCAGCAACGACTCATCGCAGGAACGATTCGTGGATGAGCATGACAACAATCATGGCGGGGAAGAGACGCTGGAGCAAACTTCCGGGGCGCATCACCAGGAGCAAGACCCTTTGTATTTTCTCTGAGGAGAATGGTTGGCGAGGAAAGCAGAACAGCTAGCGAAGATGGGCTAGCGAGGAAAGCAGCATCAAAATGTCAGGAACGATTAGTTTCGTGGATGAGCATGACAATGTCGTTGAGGAATTTGAATGAAGCGACCAGACCCGACCAGTTCGGGAGACCACATATAGCTGCGAGGGGGATGGATAGTACAGGGATAGCCAGTTTTAAACCAGTCAGTGCATGTATAAGGATCATTCACAAAGGATTCCGACAAGTTACGAGGGCTCAAAGCTCATGTTGAGCAACATCGTACAAGCAACGGAGAGAATCTGTTTTAGTTGGATTGAGTTCAGGGGCCCCGTGCAGGTTGGGAGAAACGTGGTGGAGAGGAGACGTTTTTTGACTTAAAAAGTGTTGCTCAACGTCGTCCCAATGTTGTGCTCGCCCTGAACTGGACTTCACAAAAATGGCAAATAGTACAACCTGAGAGGATCCAAAGTGGCTTGGTTGCAGAGCACTTGGTTGAATCTCCATCTTATGAGAATGGAACGAACAAGAGAAGTAAAGATGGAGATCATCTCCACCGCGGCTCAATCATGGTAGAAGCGCTTTCCAATGTGAACATCAATAACCTTGCCATTCGCATCAAAAAGTACCCCATTGGCGCCATCAAACTCTGCTCCAGGCCAATCCATTTTCAACGTGTACTTTTCAGTTTCCAGAAGGCCTTCATATTCGTCATCGTTGGCATTGGCCCCAGTCAGATATCGAAGTACAATGCGATTGTCCGAGATCCGCTCATAGACCAAGACGGGCAGGTCACGAGAAAAGCTGTCCCATCTCTCCTTCCAAGGTGTGAACAAGTTTTCCTTTACAGAAACCAGCTTGTAGTCTCGCACATCAATCACTGTTTCTGATTGCTTCTTGTCGTCAGCTGGGTAAACGCGTCTTCCAGTGTGGACTTCAATAAGCTTGCTGTCCATACCAAAAAGTCTTCCATTGGCGCCATTAAACTTGTTTCCAGGCCTATTCATTTCCAACCTACACAGTTTAAGATTGAAGCGCCCCCGACCATCAGTTGTTCCACTTCCTTGTTGTCCAGAATTGGATACATACTGGAGTACAGTCTTCTTGTTGGATAAGCAATGGTAGACCAAGATTTGCACGTCTTGACAAGCTTTGCCATCTTCATCTTTCCAGGGTGTGAACAAATTCATTGTGGAAACTAGTATGAAATTCTCTGAACCAATCAGTGTGCCCGGAAAACGAGGCTGCACTGAGTCTCTAGACCGTTCAGCTCTAGCCTCCACTATCCTTTCCGGTCTCACTTCGTTGGATATCCCAGCAAAGTTCTCCTCTACAAGTTTATCTGATTCTTGAAATCCTTCTTTGCCACACTGTGAATTTGCCTCCTGATTGGCTTCACTAGCTATATTCCGGGTGCAATTGCCATCGTGTACATTGCTATCATCGTGCAGAATCTCAATTGAATTCTCACATGCTAAACGGTTACGTTCTCTCGGTGCCTGGGCAGATGTTGTATCGTCCTCTTCAATGTCACCATTCGCCTTTGACGGGGTTGTATTCTGAGTGGAGCGACGGATAGGTGTACCGGTACGCTTCCGGGCAGTGGAAGCAAAAATGCAGCCGTCTTCCTCGTCTTTGGCACCTGCCTTTGCCGTGCTGTTACTATGCCGCGTTGATCGACGGGTACCTGTACTCTGGCTTCCACTGGAAGCAGCGATGTTGTTGTTACGGTTGTCATCATCCTCATCTTCTTTTGCTTCTGTTCTGCCGCTATCATCATCGTCATCATCCAGAATCTCAATTGGATTCTCCTCGGCTTTACGGTTGCGTTCTCGTTGTGCCTGTGCACGAGTTGTTCTCATGTTGTTTTTAGGACAGGAGCAAGTAGAATATTCTTCCTTACAGATTGCCTTGCAATGTACGCAGAAGAATAGGAATTGGGGATGATGATTGCGGCATGTGGCCACATTGCAGCCCTTTTCTGCCACACAAATAATGGCATTGCACCGTGGGCAGGAAACATTGCCTTCTAACAAGTCTTCCTGTTTGATAAAGGATTGAATATTCGTTAGGGAGCGGGTCACCCGCTTTTGTTTCCTCGGGAGTGATATAATCTCAACTTGATCGTCAGGCACGGCACTCTTTCTCTTTTGCTCCTGCTTGGTTCTATGGTATACCGGTGCCACCTTCTCAGGAACATTACGTGTGGGATTGCTGCTACTATTACTAGGAGATTCTGCCATGCCTATCAGTACGATGAATATCTTAGGAAAGCCGTGTTGGGTATGATGCAGTAAACCGGTACAAAGCGAGAGCACAAAGCTTGGAAAGTTGATGTAGTCATCCGTCATCCCGTCATCTCCAACCTCCCGTCACCCCCAAGGTGGATTGAAGATTGAGCATTCAGTGGATTGATTCATGAGTGTGAGTCGAGCCCACATGAGTCGAGTCCCAGTCAGCCTGTTCTCCGTCTGAGACATGCGCCTTGAAGATGTCACGACTTATTTTTGGACTAATTCGACTCAAACTGGTTTGTTCTTTCGCCCCTGGAACCTGCCCCCCTCTTTTCCCTCCTCCCCCCTCCACAATGTCACCGGGACTATGCCATATTACCCACGAGACCAGCCAGCTTTGCCCCCTCTTTTTTACCGTCGTGAAATTCAAGTACATGTGCCTGGTAGCAGAAACGAAGAAGAAACGAAAGCAACGTTTTCGATCCTGTGCACAGCAGTGAAGAGGAGGAAGAGACCATGGGCAAGAAGGCGTTCTCCGCGGCCTTTGCCGAGCAGCATGGCTTGCCAGGGGATAAGTTTCCCGACACTGAGGAGGAGGTATTGATAGCCCAGACAGCGCTGGATTTGGACTTTGAGAAACTTTCCCTGGATGACAGAGAAAAATTGGTGTTCGATATCCACGGTCTCCCCAGTATTGCCCAAGCAAGTGACCTCAAGGAAAGACAGCAAAAGCTGGATGCATTGGATGCGGCATTGGAAAATATTAGTAATGACGAGCCTCGCAAGTCTGCCTACGACAGTGCTGTTTCTCTGAATCCAGAGTATGTCAAGAAACTAAGGACACTGTTTCTCCTAGCCAATGAGTGGGACCCAAAGTTGGCAGCGGATCAAATGATTCAGCATTTTGTGAACAAAGAAAAGCTGTTTGGATCAGGTGAAGTGCTGGGCAGGGACATTTTGATGAGCGATTTGTCGAAAGAAGACATGGAGCATCTGAATAACGGTTGTACGCAAGTTCTGCCCAGTCGAGATACTGCAGGGCGAGTAGTGATCTTTTGTGCCCCAGGATATGGCGGCTATTCCAAAGTCACTAATAGCATTTGTCGAGCCCTTTGGTATTTTTTCCAAGCAGTGATGGCTGAAGAAGGTGCGGCAGAACTGGGACTTGTCATTGTCGACTACGGTTTGGGCAAATACGGAAATATCCTGGACCTGGATGTCATTAAAGAACTCGCCAATACCTTTGTCGATGGAGCTTGCCAAAGAACAGTTGTAGAGCACTATTGCTATGATCATGACGATCCTGCTATGCACTATTGGGCACACGGAGCATCTGTCTTCTCCGATGATTCCTACCGACATCGCTTAAGGCTTCATTTTGGGTCCCAATCCGACGTCTTATTTAAGCTCCAAACCTATGGCATCCCCACACATGAACTTCCCATCAACAACGAACAAACACTGGACTACACATGGCATCGGCAATGGATCGAGATCCAACGAAAAAAGGAAACAGCCATGAATCCAAAGATATTATGTGTCATTCCCAGGCGCTTTGATGTTCTCTTTGGGCGTGGTCGGGATACACGAGTGCATGCTGGAAACATAAGGGCAAAGCACCTTGTCGAAATGAGATTTGATGAGTACGAAAAATCGAACAAAAAAGAAAAGACAAATATTGCCAAAGAGATTGTGGCGCAAATCAAAGCGTCAAATGGCCGCTTTCTCATTTGTCATGAGGGGAATGGTGAGTGGGTAGAGGTGGATGAGGACACTGCTCGATACAAGGTTGCCCACTTTTTTCGGCGTCGGCGGATATCGACCAAAGGGTGAGGATGCAGACTGGACTCACTCACTTGACTGTGTCTGATATGATACCCTTTAGTATGGCGGTAGCGGACATCATGTATAAAACAATAAATTTTGTGCACACAGTCTTGCACATCACGTAAAGATTGAGGAAGGCTCTCCCTCTCTAGCATTCTTCCAACGCAATCTGAGACTCAACGTGGATGTTACAATCGGTAGCTATGTCAGGAGATTACTCTCTATGCTAGCCATGCAGCACCCTAGCCACCTGTCTGCTAGTACCAGTTAGAATGCTGATAGGGCAGAGCCAGATCACACTGAGGATGGCGTTACCGTGCATTCATTATTAAACCCAAAGGAACGTCCACTTCATATCTGCTCCGAACGCTTTCTATTGTATTCTCTGCATGAATCAGTTGCTGATCGTGCAACTGGGAGCAAGCAATAGTGGTCCAATCGACCGGCGGGGAAGACGCAACCAGCCTCCACTTTGGAGCTGAGTGCCCCAGTGTGGAAACAGCTCGCTGCATGGACTGCAAACGGGTACAGGGAATACAAATCAGCGCCCATACCTTTCGCTTTTGGTTTCAATAAAATATCAAAACCATCACCCCATTCTTTACCAATGGTACTCCATTTCGGATGCAAAAAAAGTCCGAAGGGGGCCTGATCGTGCTGGTGTACCGTGAAGATTGGGGTGAGTACCGGCAGATGCCTCGGCCAGCATGATTACGACGAACAAAACTCTTGGCGTTGTTCCTGCTTGATCCGACAGACTGTTGAGGAGCATCGTGGTTTCGCGTTGTGGCATCCCCACTTTGACGTAGAAGTGGGAACTCCTTCGACTTGCGTGTGCTCAACGAATGAGTGCCAGGCTTTTGAAGGATCGGTGACTTGTTCATTCATTGGCTAGTTGCCTGGATGACGTTTCAGCTCGCGTGTTGCTCACCATTGAAGAGTTAGATTGTTCACAAGAGCCCCTTCTTCCGACTGTTTCTTTGCTTCCCGAAAGTCCTCCGATGTGGTTTCGAGTGGTTCTGCGGCTACACCTTCCTTCACAATTGACGTCAACGAAGCAAGGCTAGCTACGGCCGATGACGATCGGTTGTTGTAGTTGCTGTAGCTATCAGCAGCTTCTTTTGCGGGTGGCTCTGGTGTATCGTCGTCTTCCATGTCATGATTCGAGTTGGGCTCAATGTGCGAGTTGGGCTCAATGTGCGAGTTGGGCCGCGACCGATGACTACTTCCCCTTTTGAAGATGCTCTGTCCGACAGTGACACCCTCCGGTAGTCCCTTTCGACTGTACAGGACCTTGGGCGCAAAAATCATGAGCAGAATACCAATGTCGCTCAGTCCGACAATGCAAACGAGCACAATGTAGCTCGCTGCCACGGCATTCTCCCCCACCGCAATCAAAATAGGCACGCCCACGATTAGAAATTCACAGGCATACGCCGACGCCATGGCCACATATTTGGATTCCTGATAGCGATCACTAACATTGCGAATCGTGTAGAGCAAATAGTTGGTCACCGCCATGACGACCACCTGCAAGGCCAAGATGGGTCCCGCCCACGAAAAGAAATGATTACAGGAACACCGTCCGTAGGATTCATACGTCAGCACACCTTGTTCGGTATCGACGGCAACTCCCCGGTCTTGCCGATCCCACACCAACGGATCGACGATGTGCCAAGGAATGACAATGGCCCAATTGAGCAGCAACAACATGACAATGATCTTGTACATGTCAAAGACTGTTACAGTTCTTCCTCCCTGCATGGTTTCGGCAGCTTTCATGGTCGAGTACATGCGATAGGATTTGGCACTGAGACTTCCATATTGGAGCATCCATCCGGTGGTGTACAACCACGGCAATGCCTTGCAGGCTCTATTGGCATTGGATTCGTCGTCCAGAGACCCTGCCTGTACCGACAATAGTGCAATGGAAGAACTGGAAATGATGGGTCCTAAACAAATCAACAAGAGGAATTCCACCTGTCCAATCCGCACCACGGGATCTTCTCGATGAATGATGGTCCAAACGGCAAAACCAATGGCCAAGCAAAAGACCACAACCATGACAAAGTATCCAAAGACATGGAGTCCCGCCGAGACTAGATTATCTTGCAATTGCACACAAATGGTCGCTCCCGTTTCTCCATCGGTACCTGATCCCTCGGGACACGGGCGACAGGTGTATGCATTATGATGATTGTCGTCGTCGTCGTCTGGTTGGAAGGTGTCCACGGGACACACATCGCACTTGTCCTCGAGCAGGGCGGTAGAATTGAATATTTTGGACGCATTGACAAATGATCCAGGCGGACAGGCCCGTGCAGCCGGTGCGGGAAATCGTACCGCCGTGGTAGCCTGATCAATGGGCGACACAAGCAACAATTCAAATTTGTCGGTTTTGTTTGTCGTCGTTGTTGTCTGTTCGGGTACATCCCATTGCATTCCGGCACTCCCTCGTCCAGCATTGCGCCGATGTTCGTCAAACGACGTGGGTCCGTACAACGTATGAGGCAAACTCAAATCCAACATGCTGCGTCGCAATTCTTCGTATTGCGCGGGAGACGCAAACACTTGTGCCACTTGCGGGTGATCCTTGCCCTGAAAGAATTTGCGGACATTTTGATACATGAGATAAATGGCATGATAGGCTCCCAGCGCGCTATAACTGGGTACGTATCCAAATTGTCGTGTCATGTGATCCAGCATGGCTTGTCCACTGTCAAAGTATTCGTCTGAATATTTCATGGATTTATGCCATTGTCCTCCCGATTGAATGTAGGGGACCATGTCGGGAAATCGTTGTGCCCATGCCCAGGATGCCACAGTGAGCCACAACATGTTGAAGCGACAGCCATTGTGGCGCCATCGTTCGAGGACGGTATTGACTTCCGTGTCCGACATTAAACAGGCCCAAATGGCGACACCCGTGTTGTCGTCATTGCCACTGCACGCTTGATCGGCGACACCTTGTAAAAAGTCAATGTCGTCCTGATTGGGAATTCCATCCTGATCATGATCATCATTGGGATTGTATTCAATGGCCTCTGTTTGTTCTGTAAAACCTTCCTCCATGGCTCGATCGTAGACGGCCCGACACGTACTGTAAAAGAATTCGGATCGATCGCGGTAAACGATGCGAATGGGCTGTTGTCGGTCCGTGTTGACGGCAAAGCGCAAGGCTTGAAAGGCGGGAATTCCGTATCCTTCACTGGGAATGTGAGCTCCAAAAATGTGATCATTCGATTCGGAGGAGGTGTAAAAGGATTGCGGACCGACTTGGGCGAGTAGCATGGTGCGATATTCTCCTGCAATGGGTCGTTCCAGTGCCGCGTCGAAACTGCGCGTGCCCAAAATGTAGTTTGGTTTGACGTCCTCCAACAAAATGCGAAGCATGGTCTGATGGGCTGTGGCGTACGCATCAGGTCCCAACTGATTGCGATTGCCAGCCACACCAGCGAGGAATCGAAATTGCACGTAGTGATCCTTGTAGTAGCCAATGGCAATCTCTTCTCT